CGCCGCCGGCTCCCTCGCCGCCGACGAGAGGGGCGACGCGCTGCTCAAGCGGGCGGAGCTCAAGATCGCGTTGAGCGAGCCAAAAGTCGTTGACTCGGCGCTCGCGGATTTGACGGAGTCGGTGAAGCTGAGTCCGAGGAACCCTAGAGCGTGGTGCATGTTAGGGGAGTGCTACGAGGGGAACGAGATGGGAGAGGAGGCGAAAAAGGCTTATAAGGAGGCTCTTCAGTTGGAGCCGCAACTGAATGTGGCTCAGGAAGCGCTCAGTAGGTTGGGTTCGTCGTAGGCATAGCGATTTCGCTATCGAATTTCATGTGAGGATTTGATTTGAGATCGCTTTCGTCGTTGTGTTTAATTAATTCTGTTGTTTCTACTTTCTAGTCTTTGATTATGCTTACGGTAATCGGATGTTAGGTTTTGAGCAACAATAAATGATTTTCACCAAAGGATTTCTACTCTACAGTATGTTAAAATGCAATAGGAAGGGGTAAAAACTCTTACCTCGCACTTCCTTGCTTTTGTTTCTTGCACCTTCTCATGTTTCGAAGAGGCCTATGTTTTCTTTCTTCGAGTGAAGTCGTGAGATCGTAGTCGCCGGGTGATGGAAGAAATGTGAAGAGCTGATTTTTTAAATTCCTCTAGGTTTGATCCGCTTGACGAATTCTGGAGTTCAGAGTCTTTGTTGTGTTCGTTGAACTTGCTATCGCACGCACAATTGAGAACTATTTAAACCAACGCAAAACTCAAGAAAATAACTAAGTTGCAAACGCATGAAAGCAATGAATGCAGGGAGACCTCCTTTTGCCAAAAATCACTGAAGCACTACTAATGGATCACGCAGTCCTGTTTTTGTACGAACCTACTTTTATGAAGCCACTGAAGAAGGGAGAATTGAACAAACAGATTTTTGACGTAAGAGGGAGTGACACACGGAACCAAACAGGCATTTAAGCAAGACTTTAGTCAAATTCTCGCGTCCAAATTCAAATTAGGTTATATAGTTTTTCGTTTTTACATTTCTGACGGGCGTCTTGTGCCTTCAACGCAAAATCAAACACGCATAGTTTGTTGGTTGGTTATGGTTACGAGTCACTTGATACCTCCAATAGCTAGTTCTGCCCATTATCCACCAAGGATTATATCAAAGCACATGATTGTTTAGAATTTTTTTACCGGTTTCAAAAAGACCAATTCTAAAAGGGATTGGAATTGTTTCAAAAATGACCGTAGGCTATCAGGATGTGTTACTAAATTATTATTACTATTAGTGTGTTAATATGGCAACCTCCAAGTTTATGCTTACAGTAGTCTAACTATTGCAAATTTACTGGAAGAGAGCAAGCTCATCAAATAGTACAAGTTTTGGAAGAACGTGAAATGCCGTCAAATTTGCCCCCACTCCACTAACAAATGTCATAGCAGTAGGAACAACTTGACAAACAAAAGACAACTAGCATTGTTTAAGCGATTAGTTAATGAATGAGATGCATTATGACAATGAAACGTAGCGAGCAAACGTCACCATGCTATCAGGATACAAGCCAAATAAAAGGCATCAACATTCGGTTTAAAGAGTTTGAAATGGGAGTGCCGAAATTGGTTTTATATGCAATGCCCAGATTCAATATCCACGAGCCAAGGCACAATTACAAAAACCTTTTCATTTTTATCATCCCAATTAAAACAAGGCACAAACAAATCCTGACATATTCATGTAAAACTGCAATTCCTTAGTGACTCATGATTAAAAGGCAAAATGTTTTGGTAGAAGTATAAGCACGGATGCCAATTAGAGCCAACGGAACCAAGGAATGAGTGATGGATCCAAAACAAACTGTACAACCCTAGTCACATTACAAGCTTCTGGCAATGCTGCGTGCACTATAACTATTTATTTTATTCCTGGCAAACATAACATAATGCAAGGAAACCGGGAGAATAAGGTTTTGATGATGGCTATTTACTTGGATTACTTGAAGCCTTTTGAAAATATATTTTTTTAGATTCAATTTGACCATAATCAACAATACCGGGTAGAAATTATTGTGAAACTAAGGTCTTCCGAATCACGCAGAAATACATGAGATAAACAATTATAAATTAATTTATCAATTCTTAGAAAGGTTTAGCTTGCCCTACATGGCATGGACCATGTATTGTTATTAATACAACTTCAAATTCCTAAATATTTCAAAAACTCTTTTTTCTTCTATTTATAAATCAATTCACCCCTCGCAAGGCAGCAAGTCATAATCACCGTTTTAAGCATGCAATGTTCAAAATACAAGTTTAACATCAAGGCAACATGAAAGAGATTGGTTACACAAATGATACTTTGGTCCTTCACAGGAGGATGGACTACACCTTCGTGTGTCGGTGCACCAAAAAAAATTTCGAGAGAAATTCAAGCCTAACATCAAAGTTCGTGTACATGTTTAAGGATCATATATGCTACCTTCTTCATGACTAAGGCGAAGCACTGAGATTTGAACAAGGAGCTTATATTACTCATCAAAGTCGTCGTTTGGTATTTGTATAGACAGTAGAAATGTTACCCAATACCCACTTCTATTAGTCTAATCCATACTATCAGTTTAGCACCCAATGCCAACAAGGACCAAATGCAAAACGGGTTAAAAAATGTCCTTTATCAAGGATAAGTTAACCCAACGAACAATCTTCTGGATAAGGAAGTATACCTTCACATTATTCCAGTAAGATAAAACTGCATCCCTAAAAGCCAAGATAGTTCAAGATAATTCCTCATCATCTAGCCACTTGAGTGTTGGCAAGACTTTAACAAGAAATGACCTGAAGTTCTCATCAGCTACTGCATTCCCTGATATGTTTAACTCTGTCAATGCCAAGCTTCCAAATAGCAAGAAAGCTTCCCAAAAATTTGTGGCATTAACGCTGCCAGTGAGGGTTTCAAATCGGTCCCAGGCAAATTCTTCAGTATGAGCTACAGGAGAAGAGCATAAGTATCTTGTTGTGTCAATTGAGTGGGAGCCTAACTCATTGTATGAAATATTCAACACTTTAAGTGACTTGAGCAATCTGAGAGGCCCCAAAGCAGTAAAGCTTCCAAACTTATTATGACTCAGATTTAAGCAAGATAGAAGTTGCATGGCCTCCAACCCTGTCAAAAGATTTAGTATGAGACATTTTATTTTAGATACAACATCAAAGGCTAAACTTTCCGAAAGTGATTAACCAAGGATACAACCTAAGCTAGAGACAACCTTTCAGGATTCAAATTCTCAGCATAAAAACTAGAAAATCATGTTTGCTATAGTTGGGTTAATGGATATTGCAAGAAAAAAAATCTAAATCATTAAGGTGAATTTATTAAATTTCACTAAACATATACATCAGTAGTCTGGCTGAAGCTATATAGATTCAAAAGGTGGATAATTTATGTATCATTGGCTTCGGAAAGACTTGGGGTTAGCAAAATAATGATAGAAACGGGAAGGAAGAATACTAGTGATTTGCTAATACAGGCAAACCATCCTGTGGAGTGTTGAGAAAGTTAAAAAGAAAGTAGAAGACCGTAATTTCATTGCATGCAGTTAAGTATAAAAATAAGGGGGGCTCAATGGTTCATGAATCATGAATCTACGACCCAGGATTAATGGCATACTAGAATCCATGTTGCTGACTTCACTAAGAATAAAAATACACGCTGGTCATATTTGAAGGGAGGGAAAAGTGAAGTTACAGAAAAATTATAAGATACACGAGTTCTACCTTCAATGGATTGAAGTTCATTGTGGCTAAGGTCTAGCATTTGCACCCACAATAAATTCTCAATGGATCCCATCCGTGACAATGATAGATTTTGTAATCGTAGACAGACATGGCCAGTGAATGTTTCTGTTGCATCTTTATGGTAGTGGCAGTATGGTAGTAAAGAATCCCTGGTTGAAGTTATCTGCAGAATTATGAAAATATAAAAGAGAGAAAAGTGACTTATTGTGGATGAAATAGAAAAATTGACTGGTGTAAAGCTAGTTGTAAATATAAAAGTACACCGTCAGGGCCTAGCAAGAGCTTCCAAAATCTAGTGCAATTTAATGGGAAAACCAATTGTGTGAGAAAAAAAAAATCATTTAGAAAATCACAATATTCTTGTATTTTCTAAATACCTTTTCTTCAGTCAACTGGTTTTTCTATAAAGTGAAGGTTTGGTTCTGAAAATACAGTTTCACTTTTTATCCCACATTTCAAATGGGAATCTTAGAAAATCTTTTTCAAACACAAAAAAAAAAAAAAAAAAAAAAATCCTAACCATGCTTTCTGTTTTCAAATTGAAAACATAATACACTCATGTGAGAACAGATTCAAGAAAAAAAAGGTCCATTTATTCTAGCCGGCTATAATATTCATATCCAAAGTATGAATATTGAATTCACATGAGTATTTGACATCTTAATTCAACAACAGTGAAAGGGGAACAGTATCATGTTATGATAGATATCTAATACTGAATAAAAGTAAATTACCTGCTTTAGTGATATCAGACTACGCTCATCCTTGTAGTATAAAGAATGTGTTGGATCCAACTTCATCAGATCAGTATAAAGTTGAAGAACTTCTTCAGTGTTAGATTTTCTTCCATCGTGTTGAGATGATAACATATCAAGAGCAGTCAAAAGTCTAGCCAGCGTAAGCTTTCCAATTTTACTACAAAAAGAAAAGGGCACAGTATTAGCTAGAAATGAAACAAGGGGACAAAAACATGGGTAAAACTTCCAAGGTGGCATTTCAAACCATAAAGTTATCCATTTAATAAATCAACCTTACCAGTCATACTCTGACAATAAGTCCCGGAAATTAGTTATTTCTTTAACAATTTCCTCAGTGCACCAATCCAAAGATTTTGGAATATGGTGATTTTGATCAGCAGTAAAAATGGAATCTAATTCCTGAAAATGATCAATTTTTTGGAAGTTTGTATCATTCCATGTAGTCCTTTTTCCACCCTGTCCTTCTGTAGGTTCCGTATTTGCAGTTTGTACAAACACTTCAAAGGAAATTTGGGAAGGATCACCATAGTGATTTCCATTTGAAGATAAAATACCACTAGAATGTCCAATGTTGATCTCTACAGAGTAAGTTTTCGACTGTTGAAGCTCCATATTGCCAAGGTCTAGATATACAACCCAAACCTGAGCAGTACTTGAATTATTCATTGCAAGTGGTTTCCAAACAAGTTCCTTCGTTAAAAGTTCAGATTCAATAGCCACTGTGGATGAGTTTATTCCTTTGACAGCCTGATTGAAATAAAGAATAATTGGAAGTGTTCCACTGTCTGATTGTGTACCATTCAGCAGAGACAAACCACAACCACGAAGGCCATTGTCCCCAATTATAGTTATACTAGATCCATGGGAAGGCCAAGATGAAACAAGTAGAGGAGCTTCATTTTTAACTGTTTGATCAATAAGCCAAAGATGATAAAACCAGCCACTCTGATCATCTGGATCGGTAAAAATAGCATTGTGGACATGCTGAAACTCCTCTTCCAAAACTTTTTCTTTAGGGAAATATCCTTCAGCCTCTCTTTTCAGCAAATTGGACAGAAGCACGCTGAAAATTTCCAATGAAATTTGTATTAATAAAATAAACTAGTCAATATACCTTTTGTGGCCTTTGGCTTCAATTAAAAAATGCAGTTAATCAAGATGAATCGCAGTTTATCCAATGAAACCAATTCTTAAAGAACGGTGTTGGTTTGACCCAAAAACAAAAACAGAAACACTGCATGAAAACCAAAAAGTAAAAAGGGTTTCCTACAATTCTTATAAAGGATAGTACTTAGTGCATACAGATCCACAAAATTCCCTACAATGTTGAAATATCTCGCATATTCAAACGATAGGAGTTATTGCATCATGTATGATGATCATTTAAGATGTGGGAAATGGGACACGTTTATATTTCGATAGAGCATAGCATGTCACTATATAAAGCACCAAAAAGGGTCATCTTCAAACTACATGCAATAATATACTTTCCATTTGTTCATCTACATAAAAATCTTGTAGAATGTTTCAATGTTCAAAGTAGCAGCTAATTAATTACTATTGATCAATTAAATGAGTGAACGAGTAAATTTCAAGCTAGTTAAGCCTACCTACGATTGTGCCATGCGGAATAATTACTGAAATTAGCCCCTATCACTTTCTCTGTGTATTTCAACTCATCCTCTTCTGATCGTTCCATCAGTCCAGCAACAAACCTGGCCGTAAAATCGCCACAAAAAAGGGCACCAGCTTAGTAGAGTTAAACAGAATTATTTTGAATTTTTTAAATACGATAATTGAACTTTTTTTCACAATTGCATTATTTTTTTTTTTCCCCTTGTTGAAAGGAGCACATCAAAAGGGAACGGTTTTAACCTTCGATGATTCCACGCGTGAAAATTCCGAGGATCCTCCTTCTGGAAATCGTTGAGAAGGCGCATTTCTTTGTCTATGGACGAATGCCCCTTGCTGAGCACCCATTTTCTGTGATGCCACGCGCCGTAAGACTTGAAATTCTTCCTCAGCGCATTCTCCACCTAAACAACTAAAAACAAAATAAACTTATCCGAATAATTGAATTGAATTAAACCAGTGGAGAGTGAAAACGCACGAGTTTGAGCTCGTCGCTGAAGATAGATTGGGGATCGGAATCGGAGTTAGAGAGAATGTGTTGAACGGCGAGCTTTCTGTAATTCCAAGCCGTGTAGCACTCTGGATTTATTTCTAGAAGCTTCGCGCTCAAATCTAGAGCTTCCTTGCTATATCTGCAACCGACAGGGTTTGCGCGATTCGAATTAATCGAAGGAGAAGAAAAAGAGAGAGAGAGGAAGAGAGAGTTGAAGGAAGAAGAGGCAACATGCTGTTCTGGTGATTGGCGAGAAACTGAGCTTGGAGTGAACGAAGCTTCTCAGCTTTGGCTGAAGAAGCAGCTTCATCTTCTGGCTTCAACGCTTTGCGAGGTCGACCGTGCATTTTCAAACGGAATTGCCACTCGATGTGTCCTTCGCCGTCGTTTTAATTTTGAGCAGATCTTGCTTTTTTATTTATTTATTTTTATATATAATTAACAAAGGCCTTTGACCCATTTATGGGCTTAGCAGTTGAACTCCTAATTTTGGGCGTCGGAGATTTCTACTGCCTTTTACCCAAATTACTATTTAAATTCTTCACTTTTAAAAAAAGCTAAATACCTATTTTGGTCTCTTATAATCTTTTTTTTGTTTTAATGTAGTTCCGCTTTTATTTTTTGTCTTAATTTGGTCCCAAACTAATTAACTGGTTTTAATTTGGTCCCAAATAAATTAATTAGTTTCAATGTGGGACTTCCGTCCAAATTTCTTTAACGGAGTTAACTATTGGCCACGTGGATGCCACCTAGATGCATAGGTGGATACCACGTGGATGTCTGAAATTTTTTTTGAAAACACCTGGAACCAGAACGGCCCGTTCTGAAACCAGAACGGGCCGTTTTGGATGCGCTTTTGGTGTGTTAATTTTGTATCAGAAACGGGTCGTTCCAAATGCAAAATTTACACACCAAGAGTACACCAGAACGGGTCGTTCTGAAATCAGAACGGCCTGTTCCAAAACTGAGAATAAAAAATTATTTATTAATTTTATTAAAAAAATGTAATAATTTTGAATCTGAGAGAGAGAACGAAACTGTAAAAAAGTGTCTGTGAGTTAGGTTTTGGAATAATTGAGAATTTTATTGTTTATGTTAAAATTATATTAAAATGGTAATTCCATTGATTATTATATTAATTTATGAATGTAATTGTTATATTACTTGTTAAGAATTGATGATCTAGATGTGAATTTCTTGAGGGGTGTGTAAACCCTTATTTTGTTAGACTTATCTGTTGTGTATATGGAATTGTGTATATGATATGGAATTGAGCTATGAGATGAGATGTTGTATGGATGTGATTATGATTGTGATCGTGGTACCTTACATCAATGACCAGGGATGGCACGGCACCTGAGTAAGTGATGCTACAGGGAGGGCGTGACCCTGGCATGGTGTGGGATGAGTGTGAGATCCGTGAACCTTCTCTTCCCCTTCTCTTCCTTTTCCTTGCCTAACCTTCGTTCCCTACTCACTCTCTCTTTTTCCTTCCTTGCTGATTCTAGGTAGTGGTGAAAACAATCTGGATTGCTAGTTGTTGTGCAAAGCCTCCTTTTCTCCCCTACGGTTATTCAAGTTCTTTCCTTCTTCACTCTAGTTCTCCTATTCTCGGAAACTCGGAAGACTTTGCTCAAGGTAAGGGAAGTTAGTATAGTTGGGCTTTTTGAATGAGAATCATTGTTGTTTGTTTTTCAGTTGTTGAGATGGATGATAGTTGCTGATCTTGTGAGAAATTTCTGAAAATCTGAAATTTTGAGTTTTGGGGGACTTGGGCAAAATCTTGGCTTTTTGATGAATTTGATGTTGCATGTTGAAAAAAATGGTGTTTTTGGACTCTAGAATGAAAAAGTAGTCTTTGGAACCGATTGCATGTGGAATTTGCTGATTATTTTGCAGGTTGTGGAAGAAATTTCGAAAATATGTGGTTTGCTGATGAATTCGCGCTGCGCGCAGTTCTTCGCGTCGGGCGCGTGGTCATCAGAGGATGGCATTTTGGCAGGCCGCTAGGCGCAGGGATGTGTGCGCTGGGCGGACTTGGCAATGTTAACCTCTGGATGACCCACGCCGGGCGAGAAACAAGCCGCGCCAGGCGCGATATCAGTAGCATACTGACTTTGGGGTTTTCTGGTTTGGCATTAAGCGCGATTTTTGCCGCCCTCGGCGTAGGGACTATTGGGAGTCTCTGCCAAGGGAGGCGCTGGGCGCAATTCAAATTGCGCCGGGCACGAGACCAAGGGAGGTCTCTGCTTTCCCCGCGCTGGGCGTGAGTTTGGGTGCGCCGGGCGCGGAAAACTACTGGGAGTCTCTGTTTGGCTGGCGCTGGGCGCAATTACTTATTGCGCCAAGTGAGAGAGAGCCTTGAGCCCTCTGGGTGAGTCTCGCCGGGCGCAGACAGGCTTGCACCGGGCGAGATGGCCTTCTGGTGCATTTTGGTTGTACTGCGCTGGGCGCGACTAAGAGCGCGCCAGGCGCCTCAGTGAGGTTGTGTTATTCACTGTAAAATGTTGATTTATGTCAAGTTGATTCGAAATAGATGAATACCATAGTAGATAAAAATGATTGATGATGTTGGGATATATATATATAGTGGAGTATTGTTGTTAGATGTTATGTGAGTTGTATCAGTTGTGAAATGTTGTAAGTTTGATTTGTTAAGATGAAAGGTTGTGTTGCTTTGTGTGTGTTGCTTTTGTATGTTGTAGGCCGAAAGGCTGAGGAGTTGTAGGCCGAAAGGCTGAGGTGTTGTAGGCCGAAAGGCTGAGGTGTTGTAGGAGATCTCCGAGGTGATATGCGTGACGACGCATTTTGTGTGTACTGGTAGATTTTGTGTAGAAAGATTTGGTGTGGAAATAATTGACTGATTATGCACTGATAAATTATTGATAGTAAAAATCTCTATTACTGTTTAAATTCTTCCATATGCTGAGATTTTATATACACTAGCTTACCCTTGTTATTTTTCCTTGTGGTTTGGACTGCAATGATCATACTTTGTATGGGAGCAGAACAGGGATAGGTGGTGACTGGTTGTGAAGCTGTAGCTGACTGATGGAGCTGATCTTTTTGGAATGTTTGTCTTTTGTTGTTTAGCTACTTATTGTAGTAACTGAATTGATGTATCTTTTTGTACACTTTAACTCTCAGCGCGAATTCATCAGCAAACCACATATTTTCGAAATTTCTTCCACAACCTGCAAAATAATCAGCAAATTCCACATGCAATCGGTTCCTAAGACTACTTTTTCATTCTAGAGTCCAAAAACACCATTTTTTTCAACATGCAACATCAAATTCATCAAAAAGCCAAGATTTTGCCCAAGTCCCCCAAAACTCAAAATTTCAGATTTTCAGAAATTTCTCACAAGATCAGCAACTATCATCCATCTCAACAACTGAAAAACAAACAACAATGATTCTCATTCAAAAAGCCCAACTATACTAACTTCCCTTACCTTGAGAATTTTATTGTTTATGTTAAAATTATATTAAAATGGTAATTCCATTGATTATTATATTAATTTATGAATGTAATTGTTATATTACTTGTTAAGAATTGATGATCTAGATGTGAATTTCTTGAGGGGTGTGTAAACCCTTATTTTGTTAGACTTATCTGTTGTGTATATGGAATTGTGTATATGATATGGAATTGAGCTATGAGATGAGATGTTGTATGGATGTGATTATGATTGTGATCGTGGTACCTTACATCAATGACCAGGGATGGCACGGCACCTGAGTAAGTGATGCTAGGTAGTAAGTGATTCATCCTTTAGTGATACATTGCATTGTATAGCCTAACTGTTTAGCAATTGAAGTTATCAA